AGCTTAAACTTACTCTTTAGTTTATTTAAATATTCTAAACTATATGTACCTACCTAATAATCAAATTTTTATAACTAGGATCTGGATTTTTAGATCTAAAAAATAATTTAAATATTATCCTAATACTTTTAAAAACACATACTTACAAATATTCTCCTTAAATTCTTTAAAAAGTGATAAAATTTAGAATATTATTTTACATTACACACTTATACACTTCATAAAATTATAAATAATACAACATTCAAAGGTGATACGTAGGAAGTAACTAAGACCAAGTATAGAAATTCTTGTAAATATAGATGTACAATCAAAAAAATCTAATAATTAAACATTAGAATATACCTAATAGATAGTTAAGTATGAAAATGCAATAGCTATTGTAAAGATAAAATATTTTTAAAAATAAAACTTTTTTATATACTATAAAATAAATTTGTGAAAATTTGTTTTAAATAAGTAATTTGATATATAAAAATAAAAATAAATATTAAGGTATACTGAGAATATTAAATTATCTGTGCTTAATGATATTCATACAATATATAGTCAAAGTGGTACCCATTCCATAGAAATACCGCTAAAACTTATTTTCGTAATTTGTCAAGGGCGATATACTTTATTTAAGTCAACTTTTGACTGGTGCCAACCTATTAGCACCTTTTTCAAGTGCTAAATTCCTAATTACTAATTAGTAGTAACAATCGATGTGTAACGGGATATAAAGATTCTTTAATTTTATGCTGTGATTATTCTTAAAAATGTAAATGTTACAATTTAGGTTAGGTTTATATAAGTGATAAGTCGTATAAGAGAACTACGAAGAACTATTATTTCTATAAGTCAATGAGTTTGTGTCTAGTCAAACTCTCCAAGTTCTTACATGAGTGAGTTTAAGTACGAATTGTAGGTAATGGCCAATGGATATAATATCCTTGAAAAAATTAAGTTCGTTCATCGAGCGATATCTCGTCGATGGACAAGTGGGTTTTAAATTGACGAGAGGTGAAAATATTACGTTTCAAATTCGGTCGGTTCGACTGTCGCCCCAAGTTGACAGGTGTCCGGTGGTGAATGGCAGCTCACACGAAAACGGTGGCAAACGCATTTCGGTGGTGGCGATGTTGGCGGCAGGCTGTCACGGGCGGCAAAACCTCGAACTCGAGTGACATCGCTGGACGCGTTCAAATCAAAAACCGTACGACGGAAAACAGTGATTAATATTGTTGTTTACAAACGCAAAACGAAAATGATGGGGATGTGGAAGGGGGAAAGGCGATTTTGGTTTTTGCCGTTTTTGGGTGGGATTCCGCTCTTCTCGTCCATCGAACAGTCTATCCACCGGTCAAATCGATTTATCGATCGCATCAGTGTTATCAATCACTTCACGTATTAGGAAGAACGGATTTTCATTCAGACCGCCTCGGCGCCGTGATAGTGTGGTGGCAGGACAGTCGTGGTGGAGGATCCATCACCCATGTTATTTTCCAGAAAAAGATCTACTAGAAATTAAAATGTAGATTGGTCAAATATTTATCTAGCGAAAATAATATTACAGAATTCAAAACAGTCATAATATAAAAGTCCCAGAAAATATTTTTACAGAAAATAAAACAAAATAAATACTACAGAATGTAAACTAATAAGAATGTAGTGTATCATTAGTACGTCGAAAAAAACAGAAAACAATAGTGTAGAAATTACGCTGGGTGTATAATAATTCCAGAATGAAAATTAATAGAACACAATTTTACAGAACGTTATAATGCATAATTTTTTTAAAACAAAATGTAGACATATCGATATATGCCATAAACCATCGAAAAATTATTCTCTATTATTTTTGTAATAGTTGATTTTTAGTTTTTACTATTAGATTACGTCATCTCAGAATGAAGAGGTTCTAAATTAATTTTTTTGAAAAATGATTTTTTTGCATATTATTATTTAATATTTTTTGTTGTAAATTCAATCCTGAAATCGTATCTATCCATTAATTATTCAATGAAATACAGATAATGAAAATGTTCTAATTCATAATTATACAATCTACGTGGCTGCATAGGCCACGGTGGGTGATAACAATGATTAATTTGGGAATTTCTAAGAGCGTCCGCAGGAGGGTGTTAAATTATGGCTATTTTCCTCTTTGTCTTTATCTGGACAATTTTTATAATTATTATTGATGAATGATGAATTTTATTAATGACCTAAATAAATTCTGAATAATAGTAATGTACTAAAATATATTAGATTCTGAGTGGAACGATAAATGGATTTATTTTACAATGATGTGTGTTTTTTTTTTAAAAATTTTTTTTTGTGTCTTTGTACACGATAAGTAGTCGAATTAATGCATCGATTTTCAACTTTAATATATTGTTCGATTGGAAAGTGAATATCGTTTGTGCATTGGGGAGGTCAAAATTTAAAATTCCCAGTAATTTTAAAAGCGCCAACAAAAACAAAAGAAAAATTTAGGAAAAACGGGAATTTTTACGCAAAATCAGTTTTCCAAAAATTTGATTTTGGTTTTTGGTGTAACTCTAAAACAAATGAACGTATATACATGCAATTTTCTCTGGTTGTTTATATTTGAATTTTTTATACACGATAACATTTTCAAAATATTTTGATTTATTTTGAACTGTTAGGGGCCATTTCCATTTTCCATTTTTTTTTAGATTTATTTCTAAAAATATCAATACAATTTTATTTGTTGGTTAAAAGAGCTTGAAAATTTAATAGGAGGCTCCTAATATATTTTTTCAAAGGCAGATGAAAAATATTAAAACCCTTAGTCATATTATATTTAGTTAAGGATTCGTAAAAATTTTTCTTTTTAAATCTAAGATTTTAAAATGTAAGACAAGATTCCTTATAAGATTAAATATCTTTATCAAAAATAAAAGGCCAAATAAAGTCAAATAAAATTTTTATGAGTGTATAAAATTCAAATTTTTACAACATTGGATATTCACTCAATTTCTCGTGTAGAGATTTTGAGATTTTCTTATTTTGTTGTAATTCAAAAACGAATGACTGCAGATACATGAAAAATTCACTGAATATTTATATTATTATTTCCTATTCACTACACAATTTTGAAAATATTTTGACTCTTTTTGAGCTGTTTACATACAATTACAGTTTTAAATTTTTTTTTTTTCCATAAATATCAATCAAGTTTTATCTGTTTTGCCAAAAAGTGTAAAATTTAATACAAGGCTCCTGATATATTGTTACAATATCAGTTGAAAAATATTAAAATTACATAGGCACGATTTTTTTTTATAATCATTTAAAGATGAAGTTTTGACAAAATGTATCAAATTTAAAATTGAATAATTATTTTGTATTTAAAATTTATAAAATGTTCAACTTCTATATCTAAGTATTGAAGATTTAAAACAAGATTCCACGTAAGTAGTTTATTCTGTTACCAAAAAAACTAAATAATACATAAGCAAATTGTATTTTTATAGTAATTTAAGTTCAAATTTGGACGAAGTTACATATTAAAAAACCTAGAATTCGTGGGTACTTGAAACTTCTAAGATATACTATTATATATCTATGATAAGATCATGGTTTGTTGTTGATGTATAACGCGCTATAAGTACCTAATTGATATTGTGATATGATTAATTTGAAATTTAGTATAGGTACCTGGTACCTATTATATTTCAATTTTTTTTTAATACCATAGATAAGTACATAGTATGCCTTATACATAGATTAACCGTTTCCGCTCAGAATCGTTTTTCTTATACAATTATATTATATCATTGAATTCAAATTTAATATAATTTAGTGACCCACTTGTAACCTACTGTACAGCAGAGCACATTTTTATTTTTAATAATAACGATATACATTCTAATTCAAATTTGGTATGAATTGTAATATACGTTATATAATAAAAAAATCTTATTTTGTCAACTGTATAATTATTATACCACTGTGTGATTGGAGTGAAATTATCTATGTTAATATCTGTTTACTAAATAAGATTGCAAATGTAAGCATTCCGACGAAAAAAGTATTATACAAATCATTGAGGTACATTTTTTGCAGTTTCTCAGAGAACTCAACTATTTTCAAAGAATTTAAAGATGTAATTTTTAGTAGTACTTAATACCTGTTGGCTGTTGTGGCTATTAGTTATGGCTATACTATATATTCTGTGTAAAATAAATATGAATCATCACAACTCCCATTTTATAAACTTCATTTTATTCTTTTCAATTATTAGTATATCAATTTTATATTTATAAATTATAATAATTTAGGAATTTACATAATATAAAATTAAGAACATTTTTATTTTACAATAAATTATAACCTACTAAAATTATTTTATTTTATGCTCAAGCGAACCGAGGTTTGAGAAACTTTTTTTTGTAATAAACTGACAGACTAAAAATTATACAGTATATATTTATTATAATAATTTTTACTTTATGCTCAAGCAAACCTATTTGACCAATTTAATATAATAATAATTATAAATTATCATTAAAATATTATATACTATTATTATCATTATTATTTTTGACAGCAGCTTTGACTCCAACATCTGGGTATAGCTTTGGGGATATTTTTTCTTAGATTCGAATTTTGAGGACAATTTTTTCACGTCTCCGGTCGAAAAAAGATCCATAAAATTGGATTCAAAATAGTAGACATTTCACGAGATACTCCAGAAGAAGGACGCATCCCGGCGAAAAATTAGTACCTATATCAAAATTTTTATATAAAAATGTCGTTTGAAATATTTATCAGCAACGATACTACAGACAATGTTTCCTAGTTCGGAAACTATAAAATCGGATACGATAGTAAATAACTATCTGTAAGTCGACTGTTTGAGTTGATCTCTACGTTCGCCGACTATAAATCTCTGAAACTGTCGAAAAATCCGTCGTTAATGGCGGAGGAAAGAGTTCCGAAAATTTAACGCGTAAGACAAATCAGCCGGCAGCCACGTACGAGGGAAAATGATCGGTCACCGGCATCACTCTGTATACGGCGGGTGGCTCATCGAATGTTCTAGAAGATTCTCGACGTCCTCCAGCCGACCAAAAACGCAAGTGGATGTGATGTTGGTCAAAGGGTATTCTTACGACCATTGTTTGGGGGGCGTCCACTGCGCATCGTTGTTTCGTTTCGCACCGGGCGGCCAGTGTTCGGCGTTGGCCGTAAGTCGTAACGCATGCACCGTCAGACCGGTCGCTGGTTTTTGACCAACGCTCTCCCTCACGGCCATAAAACGTTTTGAACGTTCGGGGCTCGGACCGGCGCCGTCGTTTGTTTATCGTCACTATTTGGCTCGTTGAGCTCGTTGTCGATCTCTGACGCCTGCGCTATAAGCTTTTAAAAATTAAGTTTTGACAAATTTTATCAAATTTAAAATTGAATAATGATTTTGTAGTTAAAATGTATAAAATGTTCAATTTTTATATCTAAGGATTGAAAATTTAAAACAAGATTCCTCGTAAGTAGTTAATTCTGGTAATCTATTTTTAATAAACAATCTATATTAAATAAAAATCTGTTTTATAAAAAAAACAATATTAAATAAAAAACCTAATAGACAACTGTATTTAATAAAAAAATAACGTAAGTAGAATAAAAAAATCTTGATTGAATAATAAATCTATCTTGACAAAAAATGAATTTTTTGTTTTGGGGGGAAGGAATTTTGTGCGAATTCTTGTGAAGTAGGTACGTGCTAAATATCTGCAGAAGAAAAATTGCGAAAATGTTAATTTAGACCACGGGTGGGGGGGGGGCTGGCGGCGAAACGTGTTGCCAGCACCCCCCCCCCCATGAATTTTTGTTTTTCTGAGGGAAGGAAGGTCTTGTGCATTTTCGAACCAGGCGTACGAATTTGTGTGAATTACGTGATAAATATATCTATAGTTTGTTTATAGATTTTCCCTTGGGGGGGGGGGGATCTGGCAAAACGTAATTGGGACAGTCGTGGTGGCGTTCCATCACATATATTATTTTCTAGATAAAGATCCACTAGAAATTATAATGTAGATTCTTCGAATGTTTAATAAACTAAAATAATATAAAAGAATTCAAAACAGTTTGAACGTCAAAATCTCAGAAAATATTTAAACAGAAAATAAAATGAACAAAATAAATATTACAGAATGTAAACTTATAAGAATGTATATCAATAGAACGTAAAAAAAACAGAAAACAATAGTGTAGAAATTAAGCTGGGTGTATAATAATTCCAGAATGAAAAATAATAGAACATAATTTTACAGAATGTTATAATGCATACATGTTTTAAAACCATAATATCTATCTGTCATGAACCATCAAAAAATTATTCTCTATTATTTTTGTAACAGGTGATTTTTGGTTTACTTTTAGATTTCCCAAAAACATAATAAGAAATGATTCTGAGTAAATTCGTTTTGTCTATGTTGCAAATGGGCAAAAGACAAAAAATATACAGTGCGTCGATATCCACTTAAGTTGTAACTCCGAACTCGTAAGTCGTAGAAACTATGACAGTATCGTGGAACACTCGAAAACGCGTCACCATTGCCCGAAGCTTCTCCATATGACTGGCACATGACTGTTGCGGTGTGGTCCAGGGTTGTTTGCACGTTCTGCCACCTAAAACAAGGTCAATTTTAAATTCTGATATGAATGTGTTCTAATAACAATGAAATTATGAAAGTATTTTCAAGTTTTTGACAAAACGAACAGTTTTTAATCAACAATAATTTTTAAAAAACCCTTATTTTTAATAGGTATTGTTTTTAAATTTTTTTATTTGTGTTTATAGGCAGGCACTCTATAAATTACGAGAGTAGTAAAATTGGATTTTCAACTTTAGGATTAGTTTCTGGCAGTACATTTGATCTTGTTTGTTACTTTTAATAGCTGTTACGTATTGAATAATGTTTATATATATATGGTGGGAGATTGTCCAACCATACGCGACTTGTGTGTCGTTTACTTATGCTGTTTCTACAATTAACACTTTATAATTATTTATATTCGTAAACTGCAATTACACTTTTTAACGTTTAATCGTTGCATTCATATTAATATTACGACTCAACAATAGCTTCGCAGTATTAAAAATACAAGGAAGTATTTAAAAGCGTGGGGTAAAACAAATAAAAAATTACCAGTTTTCAACTAAAACGATATTGTTTTTTTTTCTAGTAACTTGAAAACAAATTACGGTAGATATTCCACGTTTTCACAAAATGCTCAGTATTGGCATGACAATTGAAAATACAAGCTAAATTACTTAAAATATTTTTTTAAAAATTGTTTTTCTTCTATAAATATAAATAAAAATTAGGGTCAAAAGTAAGGTCAAAAAACTTGAAAATTTAATACAAGGTTACTCATAAGTTTTCATTAGTGTAATTGGAAGAAAAAAGTTGAACATAAGTCCTCGATACATTTGTACTGAACTGAAGTCTGAAAGCAAGTTTTGCCGAAATTCGTTTTAACATTTCCTTTTATACTTTCGATTTGTAATTTTAATTCAAGATTCTTCATAATCTTATAAACCATAAACGATAACATTTTCAAAATATATGTTTTACTCTTTTTTTATCTTTATCGAAATATGATCAATTTGTATAATTGTATAGTAGTTAAGGAATGAAAATTTAAAACAAAGTTTCTCATAAATAATTTTGTCTTTACTTAGAATCTTATTTCGTACTAAATATTATTAATTAAAATAAGATTTCTAACTATAAGTAGTTCATACTATAAACAAATAATTTAAAAAAATTATAAACGCATTCTCTATTTTAGATATTTGAAGTACAAATTTCGATCAAATTATTTAATATTTAAAGGAACTATAACTATTTTAGTTATTTTGTTGTAGTTTAAAAATATTATTCGTGGGTACTTGAAACTTTTTAAGTACTTATATTATTATATTTTATATTATACTATCATTGGATTAAATGTAACACATACATTAGAAACATTACAGCCAGTGACGAGTGACCCACTCGACATCTACTGCACAGAAAAAGTTTTACCCATTTGCCCACTATTTTTAAAAGTATTCTAGAGCATTTTTAAATATTAATATTCGACATACTACATAGGCACTCAATACCAAAACATGTGATACCTTTATTATTACAATATTACCACCACTTTTATTTTAGTTTAGTAATTTATGCATGAATAAATACAACAGTCCTTGTGAATTTAGAACACCCAAACTGAGTGCACTCATAACGCATACTGAAGTGCAACGTATAATGTAAAATATGTATTTATGCAACAATACATATTTACGAATACACGTGCCACCACTATCAATACCACAACTGACGCTATTACTCTCTCTGTAATTTCAATTTTTTATACGGGAGTTGGGTAATATTGTTCTTTTACAATTGAAAATTGTAAAGCTACGACTACGACATGACGTTACAAGATAAAGCACCGATACGGCCAACCGTCGCGTCGTTAATACCTTAAAAAATACCAAAATTTAACTACAGATAATTTTCTTGTAGGTATTTCTGGTTTAATGGTAAGTTGATTCATTGGATAATATAAATAACTTACGAGTTACAACACAAGATTAGTTCAGCTGAACTCAAAATTGCTATAATAGGCGAGTGGGTCAGGGAGAAAATACACATTTTGAGTTAAAATAAATATACAGAATAATATTAATTTATTTACTAGGTACGTATATGTTTCATTTGTGTTTCACTTGATTTAACATGTTATTGTAATACTATAGGAGTATAGGACCTACTAATTCACATCAGTTTTGCTCATTACAGCCATTTTCGGATTCTGAGTCTTAGAAATTTCTAAGTATGCATGCATAGCCACATAGGACTAATAATAGGTATTTTATCACAAAAACATTTAATCGTTTGAATTTCGATTTATAGTTACATTTTATGCAAGAAGTCATCTGATTAACAATTTACGGGAGACAAGTTGGCGATTCTCGCATTTGACAAGAGAAGTTGTTACCGCCGTTTATAACCATTTGTCCCTATTCACCCATGTGTTGCTTTAGTTTAATTATTTCCATTACAATTAAATTGACTCCATATTTATAAATGGTATAGAATAACTAGCTGATGCCGTGCACTTCGTTACCCGTTAAATGTACAAATTGTATATGACTCAAACTTTGTTCAGGTGTATGATATTCTAGATTTATCTGAACTTTTCTGTTTCCCGGAATAAAAATTCTAATTCGCAGCAGTACATTATCAGATAGGCAATCTACCTGCGGTAGATCACGGACCCCGTGCTCGTGCTGTTTGTACATAAGTGCATGATTTAACTCTAAAGTATCAAAGTTATACCAAGTTTGTCGTTTTTACTTAATTCCATCTACGGTGGATTAATATAATCAATTAATCAATTAATACAAAATCCTAACCTGACCTAACCGTACTAAAATCCGATGAATAAAAAAAAACCAAATTTAACACTTTTTAAATTAGCCCATCTTCTTCCCAGAAGTCTAATCCACCCACAAACATTAATTTATATATTTATATATATATATATTGACAAATAATAATAATATAAATCAATAACAAACATGCCCGATTAACCAATATCGACCAATATATAATTCATTATTTTAAAACACGTTCGCTGCGGCTTGATTTTTGTATACCCATTCCCCGGTGCTTGTCAAATTTACGTGTTTTTTTTTTATGACGCCTATTGGCGTCATCAGCGTCATTGAATAATTTTTTAGCCAGACGCTGTTTGACGCCATCGGGCGTCATCGTATAAATATATAAATAAAAATAATTATCATTCAAATACTTTAATACTTTATTACAATATTGGTTATAAAACAATTGTAAACGCGAACAACTGATAAAGTAATGCTAAAATAACATGAAATAATAATATAAAAGTATTCCCCGTTCAAGTCTTATCGTAGTCGTAAAAATAGAAAAATTGAGATACGGAGTGCACACACATATACAGTAATATGTACTGAACAACGCTGGCGAAAAAAAAAAGGTTAAACCGCAACGCTGACAAAATTAAAAATAGTTGAAAATAAATGTATAAATGACGCCTTAAGGCGTCATCCGCACATGGGAAACGATAGAAATGACGCCTCAAGGCGTATATTATAAATAATATTATTTTTATTTTTTTCTCGACAATTAGCCTATCTTCTTCTCAGAGGTCTAATCTACACACAAACATTAATTTATTGGTATACAGGGTAATT